TATATATATATATATATATATATATATATATATATATATATATATATTTGCAGTATTACCAATTGGGTGTCTGTGGTTACATTCCCGAGAAAAAATGCTGTATTTCAGTTTTTCCTAACAAACACACAAAAAACACAATTCTGAACACAATTCTAAAAAAAATAGCATGTTAGTATGGAATTTTGGGCGCAGCCATTGGCTTCACGCTATTAAACTCAAAGCACAATCCCATTGTTTTCACTCAAATAGAAATTGTAAATCAACCACGACTGAAATCTTAACGACTGCCACTTTAAGGCCTTGTGGGCTTGGGACCAAAAAAAAGTGTTGGTGAGACCTTATCAGTGGAAATACATGATGAGCACAGTACTATTTATGGGCCAAAAACACTGTCCTCCCTCCATGGAGAGATGAGCATATACAGCTAAATATAAGATGTATGATGCTACTTTCACACCATAGACTAAGCAGTGGAACAATTGTGACTTGGAGAGATACATTTAAGAGTGAATAACAAATGTAAATCAGGGTCTGTTACCGAACTGTGACTTCTCAGGTAGTAAACAGTAGAAGCATTATAGCAGGAAGTTGGTATTTACGATCCTTCCCATGGGACATGAAGGGGCCATCACTGGCCACATTGCAACAGCCTTTGGTCAGGACTGTGGAGCCACAGTGATAACTTACATGCAGAAACATACATATACAGTTCTGTTTGGCAATGTGTTTGAGGTATTCTATTTATATGTTCTAAACGTTTTGAACTCTTTGAATGGCAGAAACTAGTTTACTGTATTTTACTGACAGTTCTAATCTCATTTTGAATTCTTAGATTTTACATTGTTCCAGTTTTTGTTATATATGTTATATGCATGTATAATGCATGTAGCATGTCCTCATTAATTACATGACACGTTGTCTTGGATAAATTATTTTCATGTTTTAAAGTATTTGTACATACAATTGTAAAGTATTTTTTTTTGTTTATTTGAAATAAATGATATCTCAGTTGAGCATTGTTACTTGAAATACAACATTAATATTGATAAATTCTGAAAATAAAGTATAGAATAATTTAGTACTTGGACTAATGCATCCAAACAGGGTTTTTCTTTTATAATTCTAACAATAGGTAATTTACAGTCACGTGATTGGCATATTTTGTCTCCACGAGTTAACCACCCATAGATTGTAGGAAGTTTCCCCTGTTAATGTACGTGAAACATGTACTTTAACAGGGCACCAATGAAAAGTAAGTCCAACCTACCGCTTTCAGAATCCCATTTATAATTGGCCTAAATAGATATCAGTCACAACTTCTTCCATTCGCTTCCCTGGCAACGGCCCTCGTACCCGGAAGTTGTTGTCTTCGCCGCGAAATATCAACAGCTCAACTTCAGAGCGGTAGAAGTTTCTTGAAAATATGTCTATTAAAAACAGTCTCTACTGGAATAAGCGTGACAGCTTAGTGGATAGAACGTTTGTCCGTATGCCTGTCGTGTGCTGTGGCTGTAATGCAGCGGAGTAAAGCGGCTGTGAGTGTGGAAGTGAAGCAGGTGATAGGAGCTCTCTGCAGACTGCTAGCGGCCGCCGGCCTGGAATCTGTCCCCCCACCGGAGAACTTCAGACGGGCTAAATTCGGCGGTGGACCCGAGGTGGTACGTTCCTATTCTGTTGTCACTGTCAGGGTGGAATGTAACTGTATTTTCTCTTGAGGTAAGGCTACATGTATTATTATTATTTGACAGCTTTAGGTACTAGTTACTTGATTTTCACTGTATTAGCTAGGAGTAGCCGAAATCAAACTGTGTAAAGCTGTTTTAATTCCATGATGATTTCTTGCAACACAAAAGCCAAACAAGTCATTACATACCGGTATTCTGGTAATAATGAATTATTTTTCATCGATTGTAATTGGATCTCAGCAGGAGCAGAAAATGGGAGAACATGTGGCAATGATATCAGTAAGGCAACAATAACATCAGCAGTGCGTCATGCTAAGAAGAAGCAGAGTGGAGCACTCTGTAAAGCAGCACGTGTTCCTGTCCTGTGCTTTCGGTGGCAGCACTCTTCCTAACAGACCGTGGACTGTACATATTTGACATCTCTCTGCTGTTGTTTCCCAGGAGGACCAGTTCTGGCAGCTCCTCGTCGGTATGCTTCAGACATCTAGCATTGTTTCACAGCCTGGAGGAGGTACGTCACGTGGATCCCTCTGTGGCTTTAATGCTATTTTCAGGACTTTACTTTAATTTCCACGGAGATATTTTTTTCCCAGGATTTGAAAACATCCCAGTAGACAAAACACGTGTTTGCACATTAAATTGGTACATGGAAAAGCACCTAAAATGACACATTGTCCAATATTTAAAGTCTGTTCTGTGTGCTTATAAAAACATCATCTTGTGACTATTGATCACCACATATATGATCATGTACCCACTTTGTTTATAACCCTATTTGACTCTGATAACCACTGCACTTATTGACTTGGATTCAGTTCCAAAACACGCTCTCTGCACATAGCCGGACCAAACCCACTGGCATCTCCTGATGGGGATGAAAAGCATTTAAGCGGACTTGCTGAGTGACCGAGTGTGTTTTCTCCATCTGTGTTTAGCCGCAGAGAACAGGAAGCTGGTGGCGGCAGGCCTCTGGCAGACAGGCTACCATGCGGACTGGATGTATGGGAGCTGGGGGGGGGGGGGGGAGGAGGAGGAGGAGGACGACTCTCCAGCAGAGACCTCCTCCTGGCGCTGGGCTGGCTGCTCGCTACAGGAAAACTGGACGAGCTGCTGACCTGGCGAGTGCAGCGGCTGGACAAGACACTGCTCACACCTACACCTGTAAGTATCCCATCACGTTAAACCTAATTGTGTATTGGTAAATGTGTATAACTTAATATCTCTCTGTCAGATGAACCCCCAGCTCCCCAATGAGCTCCCGTTAGACTCTGCATCTCTGAGGAAACTGCAGTGGCTCATTGGTTGCCTGAGACACCAGGGGCGGACCCTGCTGTCCATGCAAGAGGAGCGAACTCGCTTGCTCCACGCTGTGAGAAAAATCCCGTCTTTTCCAACTTTTCCACATGCTGCCATTCTGTACAGTGAACTGAACATTGCTTAAAGTTAAGCAAGTCCAACATTTTGTGCAGGAAGCGTGACAATGACGGAAGTTTCCATTCCAAACCGAAGCCAAGACTTTTTCTGCTCAATGATGCGAACATCCCAAAAGACAGAATAAACTCACTGTTTATGCCCTTTGGCTACTGTCAAGTGTTTTTCTGCCTTAAAATGTGGAAATATTTTTTAAATACTCAGTTTAAGTAACTGAAATAGGTATTTGAATAAGTTCTATGAAATCCATGTTTTTCTCAGGTGTTCTTTGCCAGCATTCCCTCTTCTGTATCCTCCTCCTCTGATCAAAGCTCAACCGTGCTAAGGGAGGTAAGAGAGTGTGCTGCTGTTATTGAAAAGAAAATAAGAATTACATGCTCTGCCTATAGTTAGTTACATAACTGAACAATTTCCTCTCTGTTTACAATATGTGTTAAACATGTTCTATCTTACTTTCAGGCCACAAGTCATTTGGGTTTTGTCAATGCCAAGAAAATCAAATGTTTGAGTGTCATGTTCTTTATTGTTTATTTGACACTTCGTTACCAAGCTTTTGGCCACGTCATGATAGTGAAGTTTGACTCGATAGCTTACTTAGTTTAAGAATTCAACAATAAACAGTTAATTTAGTTTGTTTTGTTGTTTGTGTAATTTCTTAATCTTGTCAAATGCAGTGTTAAAGTTACATCTGAGGGTACATCGTCATACTGTGTTAACACAACATGCTTTGGGGTGTCCTTAAAACTATAATGTGTGTGTGTGCGTTACAGGACTGTGTTTGTGTGCAGTGGCTCTGTGACCTCCTAGAAGCATATCTGAACTGGAAACAGGTGGAGAAAGTCTTCTGGACCTGGATGGTGAGTGAGACACAACAGCATGATTCAACACAGAAGTGATTTCCAACACTTGGCCCGGTTCACACCTGGTTTATCTGATCACAAGAGGAAACGCCTTTTTCCTCCAAGTGAGGAAATAGAATATTGGCAATACGCATAATCCGGTTGAAATTCATAAACATTTTTTAAAGCTTGTCATGTAAGAGAGACAGTAAAAAAATGGACTGATCAAAGTTGTCATATTGACATTTAAGGTGTTTTGATTTAGTCCCAACGTCAACATGCAAGAAAACATTCCACCTTAAAAGCTGCCCATTGCCTTTGAGTGGTACAGTTAATGAAATATTTTTTTTCTCAGTCTTTTGTTAGCAAAGTGCTGCATTTGCTCGGCACAAATAAGTAAATGAGATCATCTGAAACAGGTTAACAACACATTTGGTCTTTGCAAACAGAAACGATGTCCATGTTTATTTGCAAGTAGAGAATGGAAATGAGATCCGATAAGTGGTCACTGAAGACTAGGGGTGCAACGGATCACAAACCTCACGGTTCGGTTCGGCAACCACGGTTCAGATCATTTTTCGGATCATCAAAGAAAAGGGGAGGAGACAAATATAACATTACATTACATTGCAGCCATTTAGCAGACGCTTTGATCCAAAGCGACTTACAATAAGTGTATTCAACATAGGTATTCAAGAGAACTACTAGTCACCAGAAGTCATAAGTGCATCTCCTTTGTTAAACAAGCATCTAAGAGCATAAACCAGAGCAAAAAGTACAGTGCAAAAACAAACCAATAAGTGCAACAACTAATACAAATACAATAAGTGCAACAACAAGGTTATGTCATTCAAATACACTGCAATAATGTTTACCATTACTGTGAAATGGTCTACAACTTTACATTTGTTTTCAAAAAGATGAGAATATCTCCATTGTCTGGGTAGAAGGTAGACCTTTCTGTGGTGACAGGGATATTGATATTGGGCCTGTCTAGCTTCCACTCTACTGCTTCTGTCAGCACCTGCACCAGGTGTGTGTCTGTGTGACTCTCACAGAGGGGGCGTGTCTGTGTGACTCTCGCAGAGGGGGCATGTCTGCAGCACCGGACTATGAATCTCCTCCGTGATGAAGTGAGCGGTCAGTCTTTTCCTCTTCATAGAGGAACGATCTTCATTCTGAAGTGGGTGCGTGAGGGGATTTCATAGCGTGGCTCAAGCACTTTAACCCGATTTTGAAATCCTTTATTTTCCACAACGGAGTGTCCCCCGTCGCTGACAGACCGGGATGGTGTCTCTTCATGTGTGTGGACATGCCCGATACTGCCGTTGTCGTGTGTGTCTTTAAACAACGCCTACATATCGTAATGGTTTTGTCCACCTCCCTCATCCCGTCATTATAAGTTACAGGGAAGACAAAATGCTCCTAAACTTGCGATTTAAATGACGCCGGGAGCTTCTCAAGCTCCTCCACTCGCCATGACTTTCACCGTTAAATGCTTTTAACACGCTCCGTTTACGTGAACACACTACTGCTTTATATCTGTTCACTGACACTCTGCATTGATATTCGGGGACTTGTTACTTGAAAAGTAACAGCATCAGTAAAACTTTATTACACACAATGATGATTACACTGTAAAAACAAAATCATCGGTCGGTGATCCGTTACAGATCGATCCGTGATCGGTTACACCACTACTGAAGACGCATTCTAATGCCGGGTGTAAACGGGGCCATTTATTGTGATGTCAGCAGCCATGTATGCTTGGAAATGTGACGCAAAGCGTGTGTGTGTGTGTGTAGGACAGTGTGTTGGATTGCCATCTGACAGATCCTGTCGTCGAGGAGACTACACATGATGCACCCAATGGGAGCGCAAGAGTGTGTCACCACGGAAACCGGGGGCTAGGAAAATTGGAGGACGTGCTATTGAGGCTGCCTACAGGACAGGTGTGCAACACACACCCACACACACAGGTTGTTCATTTCTACAGAGGTCGAAAATGAATGAAAAAGTATGTGATTGAACTAAAGGAACGCTTCAAGAAAGGGGGATTCTCTGTTACATATATACAGGTGCTGGTCATATAATTAGAATATCATCAAAAAGTTGATTTATTTCACTAATTCCATTCAAAAAGTGAAACTTGTCTATTATATTCAGTCATTACACACAGACTGATATATTTCAAATGTTTATTTCTTTTAATTTTGATGATTATAACTGACAACTAAGGAAAATCCCAAATTCAGTATCTCAGAAAATTAGAATATTGTGAAAAGGTTCAAAATTGAAGACACCTGGTGCCACACTCTAATCAGCTAATTAACTCAAAACACCTGCAAAGGCCTTTAAATGTTCTCTCAGTCTAGTTCTGTAGGCTACACAATCATGGGGAAGACTGCTGACTTGACAGTTGTCCAAAAGACGACCATTGACACCTTGCACAAGGAGGGCAAGACACAAAAGGTCATTGCAAAAGAGGCTGGCTGTTCACAGCTCTGTGTCCAAGCACATTAATAGAGAGGCGAAGGGAAGGAAAAGATGTGGTAGAAAAATGTGTACAAGCAATAGGGATAACCGCACCCTGGAGAGGATTGTGAAACAAAACCGATTCAGAAAGAGTGGACTGCAGCTGGAGTCAGTGCTTCAAGAACCACTACGCACAGACGTATGCAAGACATGGGTTTCAGCTGTCGCATTCCTTGTGTCAAGCCACTCTTGAACAACAGACAGCGTCAGAAGCGTCTCGCCTGGGCTAAAGACAAAAAGGACTGGACTGCTGCTGAGTGGTCCAAAGTTATGTTCTCTGATGAAAGTAAATTTTGCATTTCCTTTGGAAATGAGGGTCCCAGAGTCTGGAGGAAGAGAGGAGAGACACACAATCCACGTTGCTTGAGGTCCAGTGTAAAGTTTCCACAGTCAGTGATGGTTTGGGGTGCCATGTCATCTGCTGGTGTTGGTCCACTGTGTTTTCTGAGGTCCAAGGTCAACGCAGCCGTATACCAGGAAGTTTTAGAGCACTTCATGCTTCCTGCTGCTGACCAACTTTATGGAGATGCAGATTTCATTTTCCAACAGGACTTGGCACCTGCACACAGTGCCAAAGCAACCAGTACCTGGTTTAAGGACCATGGTATACCTGTTCTTAATTGGCCAGCAAACCCGCCTGACCTTAACCCCATAGAAAATCTATGGGGTATTGTGAAGAGGATGATGCGAAATGCCAGACCCAACAATGCAGAAGAGCTGAAGGCCACTATCAGAGCAACCTGGGCTCTCATAACACCTGAGCAGTGCCACAGACTGATCGACTCTATGCCACGCCGCATTGCTGCAGTAATTCAGGCAAAAGGAGCCCCAACTAAGTATTGAGTGCTGTACATGCTCATATTTTTCATGTTCATACTTTTCAGTTGGCCAAGATTTCTAAAAATCCTTTCTTTGTATTGGTCTTAAGTAATATTCTAATTTTCTGAGATACTGAATTTGGGATTCTCCTTAGTTGTCAGTTATAATCATCAAAATTAAAAGAAAAACATTTGAAATATCAGTCTGTGTGTAATGAATGAATATAATAGACAAGTTTCACTTTTTGAATGGAATTAGTGAAATAAATCAACTTTTTGATGATATTCTAATTATATGACCAGCACCTGTATATTACATATCAGTGGCGGGTCGTGCATTTTATACCTGGGCCTTCTGTGCTTTCCTACTACAGTTGAATAACCTAATTATGAGCCACAGCTACGGCTATTATTTGTTTCTAGGGGTGTAATAACACATATTCGTATTAAACCGTTCGGTACGAGGCTTACGAACCGAACAATACGTTTGAATAATACTAGTGCATTTGGAAAACGCAGAAGCTTAAATTGTGGGAAATATGTTTTCGGTGGACCACGCTCACGTAACAGACAACGGGCTGTGTGACCTCTCAACCCGGAACAAAAAAAACCATAACAAAAAACAGCTGAGGCTACGCTAAACTAGCTTATCGCGCGTTAACGCAGTTTGTTTTTTCATTATTAAGCGGACATTTTTAACACAAGAACTGGGCAGAGAGCGGTGATCTGCTGCCGCTCTCCCCACCCCCCCCACCGGGTGACACGCCAGATCCAGAACCGTCGGTCCCTCCTGTCTCGCACGCACGCACGCACGCACGATCGTCTCGTCACAGGATCAAACGTGACGATATCAAAACACATATTGTCGTATTTTTAAATAAACATAAGCACGTGAGAACAAACTGCAACTCTTTATTAGCATAACTTCCACATGCACGTTACTGTAAGGATTACAGATACTTGAACCCAAAAGCACAACTCGGAGACAAAATACAAGTTTAGTTCTTTTACTTGAGTTCAGGCAGGGTCAAAACCGGGAGGTCAGTCAAACAGGCGAACAAATCCAATAAGGGGCAGGCAAAAATCCAAGGCAAACAGGGTCGGAACAGGCAGATCAGGAACAATATAAAGATACGCTGGAGAACTTGGCAATAATACATAAGACAATCTGGCAGGGAGCAAGTGAGGGGACTTAAATAGTGAGGGCTAATGAGGGAATGGGCTGCAGGTGAGATGGGTGTGGAGGATCAGGTGAGGGGAATGAGAGGTGATCGGGTGTGAATGGTAGGATCTGAAATGACAGGAGAGTTAATTAAACAAGCAGACAGGATGAAAACAAACTAATATGAAGGGGAATTCGTGACAGTTACTGCCATGGTAAAGACTACAGGTTCCATGCTTCACCTACATTCCCCTGGGTCCTAAGTCCCTCTATGTACCCAGCGTCGGAAATACACGAGGGCAAAGGGCAAAACTGCCCCTAAGAAATATAATTTTGCCCCTGATATCACTAGGAGAGGGGCAACAAATGCCCCCATAATTTCCTCTAATAATAATGATAATTTAATGAACTTGTCAAAAACATCGTAGCCTATATGACCCGGTCCAGTTGCCATAGAATGTTTTTGATTTTTTGTCTACACCAAGCAAAACGCTAAAAATGTCATAACTTCTCTTACATATGTTTCCACCTGAACTCTTACAAAATACTAAGATCTGCTAGCTAGCTTTCTGTTTGACAACAGTCACGCTGGCCCACTGACCAATCACGGCGCACGTTAATGCAGACGTACTGAGCAGACTACCTGGGTAGCAGTGGCACGTCAAATAATAAGCCGACTTGCCACTCTGAAGCATTCAAATCACATCAGATAACTACATTCAGGATTTTAAATGTTTGTGACAAGTTTGATTATGTTTTGAGCATTTTTAGCCCCTTTCATGGCAAAGAAAGCGTTGCTGCGGCCTTTCACGAAACAACAAATTTTGAGTAACTTTTAATCACAAAGGTCTTTAGATTGTTCTGACCAAATTCAAAGTTGATTTGATTAATTCCCTAGGAGGAGTTCGTTAAAGTAGAGCGCCTGGAAATTGCATAAACAACACGAGTAATAACCACAAATAAAGTCCCTGCACACTAATTTCTCTTTTTAGAAGATGAGAAAAATATAATATGGCTTTTTTGATTGACATCACTTCACCCTGAATGAACTGAATTTAAAGCTGCAGGGCAATTCAGTGAAATTAATTACTTTATTTTAAGATGCACATTTTTCAAAAGCTCTCTGTTATGTAATTTATTCTTTAATCCAGCCCTTATCTTACTTGAAATGAGAAGAACATTTATTTATGTATTTCTATGTATTATTTATAATCCATCCAGTTAAATTTGAAAACTGAGAATAATAATTGTTAATATAATTGATGTGTACTTTCTTTATTTGATTTGACTACACAGAGACGTTGTTACTACTGCTACGCTTCTTGAATATATATATATATCTATATATATATATCTATATATATCTATATCTATCTATCTATCTATCTATCTATCTATCTATCTATCTATCTATCTATCTATCTATCTATCTATATA